ATCCCCAAACAAACAATAACCTCACACTGAAAGAATTGGCCCACACACACACACACAGAAAAGGTAAATAAAAAAAATAATAAAATGTATTCCCGACTGCGGCCTTTCACATGCTCACTCTCGCCCCTCACAAAAATTAACTTTTCCCAATACATCGATGTTTTCACGAGAGAGCAAGAAATACGGCGAGGGGAGTGGAGGAGGGGGGGTGGGGGAGGGAGGAGGGGGAGGAGAGGGATGGGAGGAGGAGCTGTCACTTATGCCCAGAGCGAGATTGAAAGCTTTTCTGCTATGGAGGTCTCGGAGTGGATGGAGGTATTAAGCGTAGAAGCGTTGGTCTCAAAAGCGTGGGGGATGGATGGTGGGTTGGTCAGCGTGGATGGATGGAAGGGTGGATGGATGAGGATGGGTTGGTCAGCGTGGATGGATGGAAGGGTGGATGGAATGTGATGGACGAAGAGACAGCCTGTTAATCGAAGACAGGTACACAGCCTACTCAACGTGGACAGGTAGATACAACTTTTTCACGTAGACAGGTCCACCAATTACCCAACATAGACAGGTAAACGGCCCCACTACAGCCTACCCAACGTAGACAGATAGACGGCTTCACTAACTAAATTTACCGAGGGCTCAAAAAGGACCCCTAGGTCACCCCCTCCACACCACCACCCCCTCCACACACAGTCGCCAGTCTTTACGCAACATTGTTCTCAACGGACACTCGGGAGAGGGGGAGTGGGGGGGAGGGCTTGATCAAACATAACCCTTGATTATAATCTCTTGGGCCGCCTGGTAGTTATTAAGCCATTAGATGATGTTTTGAATTAGTTTTTTAAGCCACAACGTAAAGAGAGAGAGAGAGAGAGAGAGAGAGAGGAGAGAGAGAGAGAGAGAGAGAGAGAGAGAGTGTGTGTAATAATAATAATAATAATAATAATTAATAATAATTAACGGTTTATTGAAAGAGCTTGGCAGCCAGAAGGCTGAAAATATACAGTTACATATTTGGGGAATGGGTTTCGACTTATAAATAATATACAAGTAACATAAGTGATACAAATAAGATATATAATAACTAGATGGGGAAAAGCTCAAACTACAGGGCATTTCAACATAGTGACAGTGCAAGAAATAGTATTTACTGGGAGTGAATACATTGGTCTATTACTAGTTATTGATGATTTTTACAATGGTTGGGACTGGGCTGTTCTTATAGCGATCAGTTTGTGCACGTATGGGCTGGATGCGGTTGTGGTGTCGAACAGCAATTCTCGGGCTAGGGATCTCAGGTGGTAGTAGGAACCGGTGTCGAGGATGGTGTAGAAGCTTCTTACCAAATTTGCAGAGGAGGTCGTGGTGATGGTCAGTGAGAGTCGAAAGGGTCAGTGTGTTGAGCGCTTCTTGATATGTGGAGTAGGAAGGGGAGAGAATAATCTTGCATGCTCTCTTTTGCACTTTTTCTAGGTGTTTACGTTGTGTGGCATTTAGGGAGGAAGACCAGGTGGGGGAGGCATAGGTGAGCTTGGGAAGTATGAATGTTGTGTATACACTGAGGAGCTCGTGTGCAGGAACTCCGAGGGACTTGAGTCGGTGGAGGAGGTGGAGACGGAAACTGGAGGATTTGACAACTTCACTGACGTGTGGTTTCCAATTTAGTTTGTTGTCTATGGTGACGCTGAGGAGCTTCGTGGAATCTACAACCTGGAGTGTGTTCGGACCTAGGGTAATGGAAGGAGGTGGGACAATGTCGGAGGAGAGGTTGATGTGCATAACCATGGTCTTGGTATGGTTGATGGTGACATGGTTGTTGGTGGCCCAGTTTTGAAGACTGTTCAATAAATCCTGAAGGGCGGTATAGTTGGGAGTAGAATTGTTGACGCTGATCCCAATGGTGGAGTCGTCGACATATTTCCAGCGAGCGGGGGTTTCTCTTAGGGCATCATTGATGAGCATAAGGAAGCAGAGTGTGTGTGTGTGTGTGTGTGTGTCTCATTATCCAGCAGACACTCATCACCCAGCAAACTCTCCATCACCCAGCAGACTCTCTCCATTACCCAGCAGATACTCTCCATTACCCAGCAGACTCTCTCTACTACCTAGCAGACACCCCCATCACCCAGCAGACTCTCTCTACCACCCAGCAGACACCCCGATCACCCAGCAGACACCCCCATCATCCAGCAGACACTCTCCATCACCCAGGAGACACCCTCTACCACCCAGCAGACACCCCCATCACCCAGCAGACACTCTCTACCATCCAGCAGACACCCCGATCACCCAGCAGACACCCCCCATCACTCAACCAGACACTCTCCATCACCCAGCAGACTCTCTCTACCACCCAGCAGACACCCCTGATCACCCAGCAGACACTCTCCATCACCCAGCAGACCTCCATCACCCAGCAGACTCTCTCTACCACCCAGCAGACCTCTCCATCACCCAGCAGACTCTCTCTACCACCCAGCAGACCTCCATCACCCAGCAAACTCTCCCTGTCGTGTAACATATTCACCCGCTAGTGTATGCAAGTAATCCGTCTCTCTTGCATTCAAAACAACTTTTAAATTATCTTTCTTTTGAGGTTATATTCATATGAAGTGAATTACATTACCATCTTATTTATCTCTCTCTTGAAAAATACGTCAATTAAAATTAGATTCACCACTGGCAAATTTACTTGGGAATATCGGAATGTATTACCCGTGTGTTCCATTAATTACGTTATTTTTTTGGTGGAGTGTATGTAAAGTGAATCTAATTTGCATATATCTATTTATTTTTTTCCCGTTGCATTACTCTTTAGATTACATTCATACGGGAGGGATTCTTTTTACATGTCATTAAAACAGCAATCTTCTCGGTGTATTTACTCAAAGATTTTTTTTTATATGACTAGTACAAACATGAACACACACACACACACACACACACACACACACACACACACACACACACACACACACACACACACACACAAAAGCAGGTGCACGACGTACAACCTTGTGGGGTAGCTGACGGCAGATAACCTGAGGGAGCCAACACACCAACACACACACACACACACACACACACACACACACACACACACACACACAAGCTGGTCAACGTGTCACCTGGGAGGCTGTCGAGATGCGCCGGGGAGATGGGGGAGGGGAGGAGGGGGAGGGGAGGAGGGGAGGGGAGGAGGGGGAGGGGAGGAGGGGAGGAGGAGGGGAGGGAGGAGGGAGGGGAAGGAGGGGAGGAAGGAGGGAGGGGAAGGAGGGGAGGGAAGGAGGGGGAGGAGGGGAGGGAGGAGGGGAGGAGGGGGGGAGGGGGAGGGGTGAGGAGGAGGGGAGGGGAAGGAGGGGGAGAGGAGGGGAGGGAGGAGGAGGGGAGGAGGGGAGGGGAGGGAGGGGAGGGGAGGAGGGGGAGGGAGGAGGGGAGGGGAGGGGGGGGGAGGAGGGGAGGGGAGGAGGGGAGGGAGGAGGGAGGGAGAAGGGGGAGGGGGAAGGGGAGGGAGGGGAGGGAGGGAGGAGGGGGAGGGAAGGAGGGGAGGGGAGGAGGGGAGGGAAGGAGGGGGAGGAAGGAGGGGGAGGGAAGGAGGGGGGAGGGGAGGAGGGGGAGGGGGAGGGGAGGAGGGGGAGGGAGGGAGGGGAGGGGAGGAGGGGGTGAGGGGGAGGGGTGATGGGGGAGGAGGGAGGAAAGGGGAGGAGGGTGATAGACATGATATTCTGGTAATTACTCAAAGACTTACATTTGATTTAGACATAATGATATAATATGCGTTGAATACATTTACAGGGCTGTACAGTACATAAATCAGAGTTGTTTATTATTTTAACAATAGATGATGGTGCTGTTCTTATATCTATCGGTGGGCTCTGGTGGGCTGAATTTTGTTGTAGTGGCGACTGCGCGAGGTGGTGGGGGGGCCGGTGGCAGGAGGTGGCGATGACAAGGGTGGTGCATTAGTTGGCTGCCGAACCTTTCCAGTGCTTGGTGGTGGAGGTCCACTGAGGATGGCATTTCTGTGTGTGTGTGTGTGTGTGTGTGTGTGTGTGATAGAAAGAAGAGAGAAAGAGAAGATATAGAGAGAAGAGAAAGAAAAGAAAATAGAGAAAGAAAATAGAAAAAGGAGAAAGAGAAATAGAGAGAGAGAGAGAACGAAAGAAAAGAGGAGAGAGAGAGAGAGAGAGAGAGAGAGATAAAGAGAGAGAGAGAGAGAGAGAGAGAGAGAGAGAGAGAGAGAGAGAGATCCACCATACCATACACCAGCATGACCCTCAACGCAGCGACAATAACAAGTCCCCCACGATGCCATTTAAATACCTCAAACATTACATTCATAACAGTAAAAATAACAAGTTCTCCTGTCACGCCAGACACACGACACCCACGGCACCAATACAACAAAAACAACCCCGTGGACAGGTAAAATAAAATAATAATAACCATCACATCCGCAGAGGAAATATACACCTGTCAAGCAAAAGGCACATAATAATTCAACGTCCACACCTGACTCCACACAAGAAAAAAAAAAGTGCAAAGGGTGAGGACAAAAAATAAATAAATAAAAATACACACACATACATGACTTGGCTACTGAGTAATACATGCCACCATTTAAGGCCACACGATGTACACACACACACACACACACACTGGGGGAGGAGGGAGGGGGGAGGGGAGGGAGGGGGAGGGGGGAGGAGAGAATGTAGTACCTGACCTGTGGGGTGATATTGATAAAAATGACTTGCAACACCAGACATGGCTTTTAACTACATGAGTGACCTTCAAACCCAGTCACTTTGAATAACCTCAGTGAGTGGTTGACCTTTTTTGTAGTCGTCATCTCGGTTAATGGTAAGTCATACGCGCTTGATAACACCGAGGAGTACACATCATACCTGAAATAACCTAACCAAAGGCGTAGAAAAAAGAGAGAGAGAGAGAGAGACCTTAATGTCCATACACAAGGGAGTGCCTAAAGGGGGGTGGGGGTTACTTACCTCCTTCGCCGATGAGTCTGATCTGCACGAGGCTGGGGTCCTCTGAGTGTTCCTCCAGCACCGTGTCGTCCGTCACCGTCAGCTCCTGCAGGATATAATACAAGAGTTAATTTACACACCACTCCTGCTGCACCCACTCCTGCAGGATATAACACGGAGCTAATTTACACATTACACTACACCTCTGACCTCCTACACCCACTCCAGCAGGACACAAGACACTCTTACTGTACACACTCCACCTCTGACCTCCTACACCCACTCCAGCAGGACACAAGACACTCTTGCTGTACACACTCCACCTCTGACCTCCACACCCACTCCAGCAGGACACAAGACACCTTTGCTGCACACACTCCACCCCTGACCTCCCACACCCACTCCAGCAGGACACACACTCTTCTGTACACACTCCACCTCTGACCTCCCACACCCACTCCAGCAGGACACAAGACACTCTTACTGCACACACTCCACCTCTGACCCACACCCACTCCAGCAGGACACACACTCTTACTGCACACACTCCACCTCGACCTCCTACACCCACTCCAGCAGGACAAGACACTCTTACTGTACACACCACCTCTGACCTCCTACACCCACTCCAGCAGGACACAAGACACCTACTGTACACACCCACCTCTGACCTCCTACACCCACTCCAGCAGGACACAAGACACTTTACTGTACACACCCACCTCTGACCTCCTACACCCACTCCAGCAGGACAAGACACTCTTACTGTAACACTCCACCTCTGACCTCCTACACCCACTCCAGCAGGACACAAGACACTCTTACTGTACACACCCACCTCTGACCTCCCACACCCACTCCAGCAGGACACAAGACACTCACTGTACACACTCCACCTCTGACCTCCTAACCCACTCCAGCAGGACACAAGACACTCTTACTGTACACACCCACCTGACCTCCTACACCCACTCCAGCAGGACACAAGACACCTTACTGTACACACTCCACCTCTGACCTCCTACACCCACTCCAGCAGGACACAAGACACTCACTGTACACACTCCACCTCTGACCTCCTACACCCACTCCAGCAGGACACAAGACACTCTTACTGTACACACTCCACCTCTGACCTCCTACACCACTCCAGCAGGACACAAGACACCTTACTGTACACACCCACTGACCTCCTACACCCACTCCAGCAGGACACAAGACACTCTTACTGTACACACTCCACCTCTGACCTCCTACACCCACTCCAGGACACAAGACACTTTACTGTACACCTCCACCTCTGACCTCCACACCCACTCCAGCAGGACACAAGACACTTACTGTACACACCCACCTCTCCTCCTACACCCACCCAGCAGGACACAAGACACTCTACTGTACACACTCCACCTCTGACCTCCCACACCCACTCCAGCAGGACCACAAGACACTCTTACTGTAATACACTCTACTGTACACACCCACCTCCCCCACACACACACACACACACACACACACACACACACACACACACTTTCCTCCCCATGACACCTCAAGACATTCATACCTCAACACACTCCTCCCTCCCTTTATAAATACATGAACACAAAGGCCAAGAAATAATTCCAGCACAATACAGAATCACTCACATGGAAACGTTCTACAAAACCTCACCTAACAAAACAGTATAAAACACACACACACACACACACACACACACACACACACACACACACACACACACACACACATACATATATATATATATATATATATATATATATATATATATATATAGAATCCGAGAGAGAGATACAATCAGAGGATTTATTTAGTCTCTTGGCCATTTTGCAGGTGTGTAAATAATACTGTTATAGGAATGAATATTATATAGAAGTGACTTGTGAATCATTGGTGGGGAAATGGCCTGGAACTAAAGCAATCAATCTGGTCTTTGGTGAGATTAACTTTATATGTACGAGGTGTTTGTGTTGTATTGTACCGGTGTGTTGTTGTGTTTGGGTTGTTGAATGTTGTTGTATTGTATCGTATATTGTTGTGTTGTAGCGTTTGTCTGCGTTGTGGTGTTTATGTTGTATTGAGAGAGAGAGAAATAAAAGAAAGAAAGAAAGAAAGAAAGAAAGAAAGAAAGAAAAGAAAGAAAGAAAAGAAAGAAAGAGAAAGAAAGAAAGAAAGAAAGAAAGAAAGAAAGAAAGAAAGAAAGAAAGCCTCAACTGGATTTTTCTGCATTTTCCTTGAACACACGCAGACTGCTTGACCTATATACATTCAACAAGAAGAAACTGAACCATTTTTTTCCTCATCCCTGTAATTCACTGTATCAGACAATACGTACTGGCTGTAGTCTGGGTCTCTATATACAGTATACAGGTTACAACACCACACCATACACCAACTTTAATCACCTGTAACTGTATCTGTATTTAGAACTGTATTTTGATAATATTTCTGAGTTTTGAATCACTGGAAAGATTAAAAAACACCCCAGTTTATTTCAGTTCAAAGAATAGCCACCCTAACGCTACCTGGGGTGTAAGATAGGGTTAGGTTGGGAAGAAGGTAGGTTGAAGTTAGTTAGGTTAGGTTAGGTTAGGTTAGTGTTAATCTACAGATAAAATAAACTGGGGTAACTAATCTTCACGTGATCCTAAATATCTAAATTAACATACGAATGAGCGCCCCTGACACATACAAGAGTCAGGCACCGTAAAAACTCGTCGCTGGTGTACACTTCTGGAGGTCTTACTCATACAGGTGTTTCCAGACGGCAGGTGAGCAGACCCTCGGCCAACAAGTACTGGCTCACCTCATGACGACTAACACGTGGACCTTTACTTATCCTTGTTATGAGTGCGTTGGTTTATTGAGTCACATGTGAAGAGGGAGAACTCAGTGTGTGTGTGTGTGTGTGTGTGTGTGTGTGTGTGTGTGTGTGTGTGTGTGTGTGTGGTGACTAAATAATACAGTTTTGATGTAACATGTCAAGGCCGATTGCATGTTGTTTGTGACAGAAATGACACAGCTCGCGGAGAATGTATACCATTACAGACCAAGATCACCCGCTAAAGGTCAACTGGCTGTGAGAGAGAGAGAGAGAGAGGCAGGTGGCGGGTCTGGCCTCCTACGAACAATGACGCGACAATTCTCATATTAAATGAGCTGGAAAAAAATAAATTAAATATGAACTCATTAAAATAGCTTCCAAATATGGCTTTAACTTTCCTAATGCCAATAACATTAATAAATACTATTACTACCACCACGACTACCACTACTACGACTACTACTACTACTACCACGACTACGACATTTTCACTTTCTTCAGTCGAGATAATAAAGGAGGAACACAAACTCTCAATTAACTTAACTCGCGAATTGGATATTGACCAAAGAAGAGCTTATTTAATACCGGGAAACCACAGGTCAAAGGTCAGGGTCACATGTCCTGACCTTTCACAAAATACCTGTAAATTACGGGGACTAAACTTTGAGTCAACCAAGTAAGTCATCTGGCTCACAATAAAGCCACCAGCTCAGTTTCATTAAAATTGGTTGACTGATATTAAAACCTCTAGTGGTGGTTCCTGACCTTGATCTTATGACCCTGACCTACTTTCACCGCCATTGCTATAGTTCCACCAACCACCAACACTTAACCCACTAATTAAGGTCCATCATAATCCATCAACGTTTTTCGAGGAATTTTCTTCAAATCAAACGCAAAAATAAGGCAAAGTTATCTAGTTGTTCCAAGGTATGAATTACGGCGTCAATTTCAGTGTGTTATATGATGATAATTGAAGCTATTTTTAAATATTGCTCTGGGAAGGAAACTCGGACGGGCATTAGAGACTGAAGTAACCAACATTCCGCCATCTTGGTTCCGTGGGGATAACGACATTACACCCTGATGATGGTGGTGTGATGGTGGAGGTGTGATGGTGATGATGATGGTGAAGGTAGGTGTTGGTGGGTGACAGTAACTTTGTTTATCTTTTTTCCGGTGAATTAGAAGCTCGTGGCGCCTGAGTACAAGATATAACCCAACAGTACAGTTGTGTATGTGGACACCGCAGTACAGTGTAGGTGTCCTTGTAACTGTACTGGCGGGTGTGGACAGACCTGTCTGAAGGTTCACCGGCTGCAACATATGAAGGTCACTGACATGTTTCTATTCAGTTTGTAGTGTGAAAATAGCAGTGTGCATTAGTATTTCACAGGGTGGTGGGTCGTGTACACCTTTACAGTGCATGTCTGCACAGTGTGTGTGGGGAAATAAAGGCACAGCACTGCGTGTCACCTACACAAGACAGGTGTGTGGTACTCACTCTGGTGGCGTCGTTGTAGCCGACGATGACAGCGGTGTACCACTGGGTGGTGCCCTCGGCGCGGTACACCTGTACCCGGAAGCCCACCAGGACGGAGGGCGTGGTGAGCAGGATCCTCTGGCCGTCCTGCTCCCCCACCCACGTGCGCAGAGCCGTGAGACACTCCTCGCCACACACCCCGGCACAGTCACCTCCCTGCAACACAAACACCGCCATTAGCCTCCATCAAGACAACATAAACATCCATCTTATCCCCTTAATAGCTTGTTAAACCAATTATAATATAAAAGGTCAGGCGGCAACAACACACCTCACACTCTCCCTGACCCTCATACTCACTTAATTTCCTTCAGTTGGTCCAGCTCCCTGATGCGCCGTCAAGGCAACTTAAAAGGGGGATTACAGAGCGTGTGAAAACGATCTGACCCTAAAGTTTTCCGGCCGGAGTTTACTGGGGAGTGAGACGCCCCCACACCCACCTCCCTCACCCACTGATCACACTAACACAGCTAAGAAAACACACGTCATCTTATGCGACACAGTACAGGGATAAAATATAATTATTAACCACTGCAAAAAAATTACACGGTAAAAAAGTTAAATTACTGAAGACACAAACCTTTTTTTTTTTTACCTGATCTATATAATATTAATTCACCTACTCATTAAATACAATTCAATCATTAAATATTGTAAAAAAAATATATATAAAAATAATTCACATTACTCATGACACTCACATTTACAATAATTTAAAAAAATACATCACAACTGCATCTCAACACAAAAGCAGTTCACGAAAATAAATTAAAAAACTTTCTATTGTGGGAGTAGTTTTATGGCCGCCCACAGGTGCAGAAATCCACCAAACAGCTTGAAACTTTATCAATCAGCTTGAAAACTGATGAAAACTGATTAAAAACTTATCTGGCAGCTTAAAAACTTAATAAGTGTGGCCCAGGATTACGACACTATATAAGGAAGCCTAGACAACAACATTACACTGAACACTATTGGCGTAATCCTGCTAACGAAACTGTCTGGGTTGGACGGAGGGACGGACGGAGGGACGAACGGATAGACGGAGGGATGGACGGATAGACGAGGATGGACGGAAGGACGGATACACGCAAATCAACGTGTTTCCTGTATACATATACTGTCGGGGGATAAAAGAGAAAAGATTACCTCACAAAAATTAAACTGATTACCACTGTGCTGTAACGACACACACACACACACACACACACACACACACACACACACACACACACACACACACACACACACACACACACACACACACACACACACACACACACACACACTTTAAGAAGAACGTAAGTAAAAACCAACCCTGAACAATATTATTAATCAACTTTCTAGCAACAAGACTGCAGGGTCGATGTGGTGGACCCGGCCAAGCGACTTCAGCCACCACATTCAACCCAACAGTATGTCACTAATATGCCTGATACACACACCCCGTTAACAGACAGCTATAAACACACCCCATTAACAGACAGCTATAAACACACCCCCATTAACAGACAGCTATAAACACACCCCCATTAACAGACAGCTATAAACACACCCCATTAAAAGACAGCTATAAACACACCCCATTAACAGACAGCTATAAACACCCCCATTAACAGACAGCTATAAACACACCCCATTAACATACAGCTAAACACACCCCCATTAACAGACAGCTATAAACACACCCCATTAACAGACAGCTATAAACATATTAACAGACAGCTATAAACACACCCCCATTAACAGACAGCTATAAACACACCCCCATTAACAGACAGCTATAAACACACCCCATTAACAGACAGCTATAAACACACATTAACAAACAGCTATAAACACCCATTAACGAACAGCTATAAACACACCCCCATTAACAGACAGCTATAAACACACTCATTAACAGACAGTATAAACACACTCCATTAACAGACAGCTATAAACACCCCATTAACAGACAGCTATAAACACACCCCATTAACAGACAGCTATAAACACATTAACAGACAGCTATTAACAACATTAACAGACAGCTATAAAACACCCCCTATTAACAGACAGCTATAAACACCCCCATTAGAGACATTGCTTACCCCCCCCATTAACAGACAGCTATAAACACACCCCATTAACGAACAGCTAAACACCCCCCATTAACAGACAGCTATAAACACCCCCCCATTAACAGACAGCTATAAACACCCCCATTAACAGACAGCTATAAACACCCCATTAACAGACAGCTATAAACACCCCATTAACAGACAGATATAAACACACCCCCATTAACAGACAGCTATAAACACCCCCATATGAACAGCTATAAACACCCCCCATTGACAGACAGCTATAAACACCCTCATTAACAGACAGCTATAAACACACCCCCATTAACAAACAGCTATACACTTACACCCATTAACAGCGCTATAAACACACCCCGTTACTGAACAGCTTTCGGCACACCCCATTAACAGACAGCTAAAACACACCCCATTAACGACAGTTATAAACACACCCCATTAACAGACAGCTATAAACACACCCCATTGCGAACCTTCACGCTTACACCCCATTAACAGACAGCTTTCGCCCCCATTAACAGACAGTTCTCACCCCCATTAACAGACAGCTATAAACACACCCCCCATTAACAGACAGCTATAAACCCCCCATTAACAGACAGTTATAACACACCCCATTAACAGACAGCTCTCAGCTACCCCCCCATTAACAGGAAGCTATAAACACACTCCATTAACAGACATATAAACACACCCCCATTAACAGACAGCTATAAACACACCCCATTAACGGCAACCATAAACACCCCCATTACAGACAGCTATAAACACACCCCCCATTAACAGACAGCTATAAACACACCCCCATTAACAGACAGTTATAAACACACCATTAACAGACAGCTATAAACACACCCCATTAACAGACAGCTATAAACACACTCCATTAACAGACGCTATAAACACACTCCATTAACAGACAGCTATAAACACACCCATTAACAGACAGCTATAAACACACCCCATTAACAGACAGCTATAAACACACCCCCATTAACAGACAGCTATAAACACACCCTTAAGTCTATAACACACCCCCATTAACAGGCAGCTATAAACACCCCCATTAACAGACAGCTATAAACACACCCCCATTAACAGACAGCTATAAACACACCCCATTAACGGACAGTTATAAACACACTCCATTAACAGACAGCTATCATCCTCCATTAACAGACAGCTATAAACACACTCCATTAACAGACAGCTATAAACACACTCCATTAACAGACAGCTATAAACACACCCCATTAACGAACGCTTTGTTTCAGCTATAAACACACCCATAACATACAGCTATAAACACCCCCATTAACATACAGCTAAAACACACCCCCATTAACATACAGCTATAAACACACCCCATTAACAGACAGCTATAAACACACCCCCATTAACGAACCTATACTCGCGCCCCCATTAACAGACAATCGCAATCACAATTAAAGAAACTCCCACCATAGTTCCTCTGGTCACTTCCTAGTCAAGGTGGACAGACTAGGGCAATTGTTTACAAAGTTGGCTATAATTAGTTCCTGATGTAAGACTATAACAAGGTCTACTACTGTTAAATTAATCCTCTATCTATAATTAACAAATATAACAAATACATTTAACTTCAACATTCAATTAAATATATTGCCATTCACATATACACTCAGCCATTAGATTAATTAAAATGTATAATATAGTACAGACCAAGTAGCTATACTGTATATATAAATCGACCTATTGTGTATATAAGCAAACAAACCGCAATTAACACACACACACACACACACACACACACACACACACACACACACACACACCACACACACACAGACAGAGGGGGACAAACAAACAAACAAACACCCACGCACGCTATTACAGGGTGTGTGGGAGGGAGGGGTATAAACACCTTCATTATCCTTCCACCTCCTCCTGCCCCCTCCCCCAACACTATACCGGGGAAATATGAAATATAATCAACTTGGTGACAGACGGGTTCTGCGGCACACACACACACACACACACACACCTCGCTTCCTAAGTCTATTCAAGGAACATCTGATTAAATAAATATATACTGTATATATACCATGATTTGAGGTGACTGACTTAACTTTAAGGTTATGCGAGGTAATCCTGGACTGAAGCCGCTGTTTTGGTCTTTCTTTAACACACACACACACACACACACACACACATGTACACCAACTAAAACTGTATATATTTACTTCAACCTGTCTGTGTTTGACTGGTTAACTGTATACACTGTGTTCTGTGTTCTATTATATTGAGCACATATGACCTGTGTACTTTAATATGACCCTGTGTACGTCAACATAGTCCTTAGTATACCACAACATAACTCATGTATAGTACAACATAACCCCAGTATAATATTTAACCCCTGTATACCACAACATGACCCCCTTGTATACCACATAACCTCTGTATACCACATGACCTCTATACCACACCAACATGACCCCTGTATACCACATAACCTCTCTACCACAACATGCCCCCTGTATATATACATGACCCTGTATACCACAACATGCCCCCTGTATACCACATGACCTCTGTATACCACAACATGACCCTCTGTATACCACATGACCTCTCTATTACCACAACATGCCCCCCATGACTCTATACACACAACATGCCCCTGTATACCACATGCATGACCCCTGTATACCCATGACTGTATACCACATGACCTCTCTATACCACAACATGCCCCTGTATACCACATGACCTCTCTTTCCCACATGCCCCCTGTATACCACATGACCTCTCTTTCCCACATGACCTCTGTATACCACATGACCTCTGTATACCACATGACCTCTCTATACCACAACATGACCCCCCCCGTAGACCACAAGAGGGAAAATGAAATGACGCGCCCAGCTATCGAACAAACTTTGGACGTCTTAAAGAAACTTTTCAAGGAACTCATTATAACAAGTTGAGTGAAGTTACAAATTGCTGGTCTGCCTGCCAAGTGCTGAGGTAAAGGTCTAACTTTGGGTACGTTGCCCTCCCTCACCACACACACACACACCACAGTGATGA